AGATTCCTTTTCTTTATGTTATAAAATAAAATAAGACATATCTCGGCTGATTTACAGGCAAATACCCAAGCGAGAACTGGATGTGAACGGGACAAAGCCCTGTCACAAAATGACCATTATCTTTCTTTACAAATGTTCCCAACACACATGTTCCAGTCGAAAAATAAAATAATATTTAAAGTGATCTATTTTTAGTCCAATAAAAATGCTTCCCTCCTAATTATACTCGCTTCGTTTTTCGAGCTTGTTAAGCCATAAAAAAAAAACACTATAAAAGGGGTCACACGGAAGTTCAACGGGCAGTCAACAGGTGGCCACAAGGGAGACCTGTTACGGTCAGGCCGAGCGCCCAGCAGCTGTCAGCTGGAGAGCACCAACCACCGTCAACATATATGAACTACTATGAGAGATCGACCTAGATCCGAAAGCCGGCTTATGAACTTTACCACAAGGTAGCTGTCCCAAACACTCACATTCCTGTTGAAATGAACCATGTAAATCTATTTCTACTGTTGTCGTATTTCTTTCTTACAACCATACGCTTGTCTATAACATTTATTATCAGTGAATAGCAATGACTTCTTAGGAAAGATAGTGTAATGGTTTCCTGTTGTCTTCTCCACATGTTCCTTTTCTTTATTATCTATAAATTGCCAATGACTTCTTGGGAAAGATAGTGGAGTGGTTTCCCATTGCCTTCTCCACAGATTCTTTTTTTTTATTATCTATGAATTGCCATGACTTCTTGGGAAAGACAGTGGAGTGGTTTCCCGTTGCATTCTCCACAGATTCTTTTTCTTTATTATCTATGAATTGCCATGACTTCTTGGGAAAGACAGTGGAGGTGGTTCCCGTTTGCCTTCTCCACAGATTCTTTTCTTTATTATCTGTGAATTGCCATGACTTCTTGGGAAAGACAGTCGAGTGGTTTCCCGTTGCCTTCTCCACAGATTCCTTTTCTTTATTATCTATGAATTGCCATGACTTCTTGGGAAAGACAGTGGAGTGGTTTCCCGTTGCCTTCTCCACAGATTCTTTTTCTTTATTATCTGTGAATTGCCATGACTTCTTGGGAAAGACAGTGGAGTGGTTTCCCATTGCCTTCTCCACAGATTCTTTTTCTTTATTATCTGTGAATTGCCATGACTTCTTGGGAAAGACAGTGGAGTGGTTTCCCATTGCCTTCTCCACAGATTCTTTTTCTTTATTATCTGTGAATTGCCATGACTTCTTGGGAAAGACAGTGGAGTGGTTTCCCGTTGCCTTCTCCACAGATTCTTTTTCTTTATTATCTATGAATTGCCATGACTTCTTGGGAAAGACAGTGGAGTGGTTTCCCGTTGACTTCTCCACAGATTCCTTTTCTTTATTATTTTTGAATTGCCAGGGGTTCTTGGGAAAGATAGTGGTATGGTTTCTCATTGCCTTCGCCACAGTTTTTTTTCTTCATTATCTATGAATTGTCATGCATTCTTGAGAAAGAAAATGAAGTATTTTCCTGCTACTTTCCCAAAGTTTTTTTCTTTCTTAGAATGATTGCCACCCAAAGCCCAAAAATCCAGTCTACCCTGCTATTTAACTCATAGCTGTTGAGAGAAGAAATTAATTCTTGCTTTTCCTAAGGGAATTTGTGTGAAAGTGAATGCATCTAAGCCAGAATTTACACTCTCTGCACCAATAACTTACACTACCTGCACATCATGTTTTTTTTACTATAAAACTTCACAGATGAAAAAGGACTGAAATTTTTATGAGTTAAAAAGAAAATGTTAGAGTGGAAGTTGGTGCTACTAGGAAAACAAACAATAGTGTGTTGGTTTTAGTAGTATTATTTCATAATTTATTTCAGTGCTCCTAAAATATAAATAGATCAAAGAAGTAGTCATAGATTGGAACAGAAAGCAACCAGCTGTTACATTATTGTGAATAATATACACAAATATATTGATTTGTCTAATGTTTGAACAATACTATACGAAAAGGTCAGTTTTTAAAAAATAATTTACTATTTTAAAAAAGCACTCTCAAAGTTTTTAACCCATTCTGTATAATGTTAACAACTTGATGTGAACTTGTTGTACAGACTGAAACAAAATTTCAGTGGATAATATCCCATAATACTACCAGGTTAAAATTTGAACTGAATCTAGATTAAAGGTTACAGTATTGGTCAAAATCATGTTATGCTTCTAACTTATAAACTGTTCACTAGTTTCATTTTGACATAAATTACTGGATTTTTAAAAAATATATTTTTTAATTTTTTAGAATTTTCTTTGTTTATAAAAGGATTGTTCTATTTGTGATTTGTTTTATGTATTTCTTAATCCAGTTTTATTAAATGCAATTTTAGTGAATTAAGTATGTTAGAAATGCAAATTAAAATTGGTTTAGTCTAAAGAACCAAATTGAAATGTACTACTGACTATCACTGTTTATGCTTTTCTTTATGTGCTATGTCCCCTCAGGGTGTAGGTGAACATGGCTGTCCCCAACTTCCTATCCTTTGTAACTCTTAATAAATTTTCTTTCTGGTATTTCTCATAAACCATGTCCCACAAGCCATTTACTCAAACTCACTAAGTATGTTATGTGTTGTTTTCCTCTGTCTTTCTTGCCTTCAATCTGTCCTGTGAGTATCTCCAAGCCTTCTTTTCATGTTCCCCCAGAAACCCCAACTGCCTCTTCCTGATGTTCAGTATAAATTTCTTTTTGATGTGAAGTCAAAGTTTAGCACTAGTCCATCACTAAGCTTGTCTTCGTCCCACATTATTCTCATTGACGAGTTATATAAGCTTTCTCTTGCACTTATGCAAATTAGGCATATTAATTTGCCAGTGTCACTACAGTTTTTTTGTTTCCATTTTCTCTAAAACATCATCATTGCTCACATGTTCTGTCTATAGTATACTCAACATCCTTCTGGAGAACCAAATTTCTGTTGCTTCAAGTCTCTTCTTCATCTTTGAGGAAATTGCCCAGCACTCACTGCCATACAGGAGGACAGATATCACATGACAGTTCAGTACTCTTTTCCTTGTTTCTAGTGATATTTTTCTATTTCTTAATACTCTGCTTAGAATTTGAAATGCATTTTTGGCTATTCCAATATGCCTTCAGATTTCAGCGTCACACATTCCATCCTCTGTTAAAACACTTCCCAGATATTTAAATTTCTGCACTTGTGTGTTTTTGGTATTTCTAATTTGCAATTTGCATCTTGGGCTCATCCTTTTGCTAACAACCATGCATTCTGTCTTCTTGCTGTTGATGTTTAATCCTTTCTTCTCACTTTCTTTCACTCACTTCTGTAAGAGCTTTTGTAGTTTTCTTTCTGTCTCAGCTATCAACATTGTGTCATCTGCATATTCTATGTAAAGATTGTGGACACTAATAATGAACCCTGGTAGGACTTCTAATTCTCTCAGAATTGCTTCATTATACAGGTTGAGAATGAGTCTGGTGAGAAGACACAATCCTTTTCTTACACCCCTTTCTATTTTTGTGTATCTGATGAACTCATTTTCTATCCTTATGCAGGCAGTTTGTTGCCAATATAGGTTCTTGATTATTCTAATATCCTTCCTAAATATGTCCAGGTTGCTAAGCTGTTCTCACAGATGTTTGTGGCATACTTTATTTAACACCATTGTGTAATCTATAAAACATAAAAAAAGTCCTACCAGGATTAATTATTGGTGGCCTCAATCATAACAACATAAGATAAGCAGATGACAGTGTTGATAGCAGACACAGAAAGGAAATTACAAGAACTCCTATACAAAGTAGTGAAGGAAAACTAGAACAACATCATTGCAAGTAGAGAGAATATATGGTTGTCAGTAAAAAGAAGAGCTCAAAATGCATATTACAAATCTGAAATACCAAAACCAAGCAAGTACAAAAACTTAAATATCTGGGAAGTGTTTTGATAGAGGATGGAAAGTGTGATAACAAAATCTAAATGTGCATTGGGATAGCAAAAGATCCCCTCTAGAAGTCAAGGAAAGTATTAAGAAACAGGAAAATTTCATTAGAAAAAAAAAAAAAAGAAAGAAAAGAGTACTGAACTTTTATGTATTATTGGTTCTTCCATATGGCAATATCCTCAGAGATGAAGAAGAGACTACAGAAGGATGCTGAGAATACCAGGGACCGAACATGTGAGCAATGAAGAAGTTTTAGAGAAAATGGAAAAAAAAGAGGACACTTACACTTAAAATCAGAAAGAAATAGTTGAAATTTCTAGGGTGCATATGAAGGAAGAAAGCTTAGAAAATTTGGCATTCACTAAACATATTGAAGGTAAGAGGGATAGAGGAAAACAGTACATAAGTTACCTATTAAGCTTGGGTAAATGTTTGGCAAAACAGGGACTAGGAGAGATAGCAAATATACAAAATTCACTAAAACCGACAAAGGACAAGAAGTTGTGGAGAGCTATAATTGCCAATGTCCTAAATGGACATGGCAGATAGAAGATTCTTTATTTGCTGTTGTAGGCTGATGACCAAAGTTGATGAAAATTATTAAAATTGTAAAGTGGCCATTATGAAATATGAATAAATAAACGACCGAACTGTCCAACAAAATGATTTGACAAAGCTTGCAATAAACAATTACAAAGAAAAGAACAAGGCAAAAAATAATATGAAACAAGCAAACAATATATGCAAGGCAAATAAACAGTAAAAAAGGCAAATAATTCACAAACTAAGAATTTGGGTTTACACACAAGAGCAAATTCAGATAAGTAAACATAGTGTTCTGACTTCAAGACAAGACAGACCAGGACTGAGTCATCTGAAACTAAAAACCAGCCCATTTTATTGGGTAGAAAGAAATCCTATTATGCATTTGTGTGCTTCTGCCTATGAATTTGAGAGTGAAAAGTGTTTTGCAGTCATTTCAACAAGTATCAAAACTAACAGAATCGATGACTAGCAATTTCTTGCTTTATCTTTACACAGTTGATTTTATTTTATTTTTATTTTTTTCAGCCCTGAAAATAATGATGATGGCTTGGATCTTCTTTTCCCATACCTAAAAACCCATGGCCCGAGTCATGACAACCAATATGTTCGTAGCTGCCAACAAGTTAAATATGGAAATCGTACACATTCTTTGTTCCCCATCTACCGCAATGATAGCAACCCAGTTGGTATCCAGTTGCCACTAGTCCAGTCCCATTTCTTGATTAGGAAAATTGGACCGGAAACAAAAAAACGAGATATTTCCATTCATTATCAGTTAGTTACAAATCCTTGGCACACACTGAGTGTTTTGGAGCCAGGTAAAAAGAACGGGTAAGTCATAATATTCTGCAGCACCCATTGCAAAGAAAGACTCAAAACTCTAGAAGCTACTATTATACAAAATAAACAGCCCACATTAAATAAAATATCATTCAACTAAGGAGACAGTTTCTTGAAGTACTTATGATAGGTTGAAAGTGCATATATATTTTAATATAAAAATTGCATTCTTTTTGGTGCAGCCTTGTTTCATATAACTGTTACACCTTAGACTATTTCAAAGTTCTAGCTTTCCAAAGGGTACCAGAATGTATACAAAAGAATTCTAACTACCAGACAGACTCCACATTGGTTTGTGAAAATGACTGAGATGGTCAAAAGTATTTGAACAAAACGATAACACAATATAAACTTTGGATAGTTTATCCACAATATTGAGCACAATACACAACACCTTAGTGAAAAAACTACAGTAGAAATTTAAACAGGCAGACCTTATCTGTTCTTCTTAATCCAACTAATATATATATATATATATATATATATATATACTTTAAGAATATTTATTTAGAGTAACGTCACAGTTTTATAATTTTCAAAAGTTAAATTGAGATGGAGAAAAGTGTAGCCATGATATGTCCAGCAACTAAATGAAAATGGATAATTCTATTTTATGCAAAAAGTGTTCTTAATTACTATTTGTTTAAAAGGGAATCTGGTTGGGTGATTATGATCATGTGATCAGGCATAGAAATTTTTGTGCCAAAAATTAATGATCATGAAATTTTGTTGTTAAAAATTGGAATGTTGTGGTACAGTGAGCGTGGCTAATGACACACGCACACACACTGGCACACATATATACACTAATTCTATTTGTAAGGATTCTTATATGCCATGAAATAAAGTAATAATTTTCATTTCATTATAAAATTGTTTTTTCTAAAATGATCTCTTACCTTAGTTGTTGATTATTTATTCTAATTTGATTTATTTACAGGTGTAATATGGCTGGCAGTGGGATAACAGCAACTGTGGCAGAAAGTTCTCAACAGATGAATTGTTTGTTGGCTATGAATGCAGGATTCTTTAATCGACAAACTGGGGAATGTTTTGGTAAACACATTGCTTCACTATTCTGCAGAAAATGCCATTCCTTTGTAAAAAGAAAGAGGCAGAAATTGCCTCAAATATGAGGTTCTTCTAATCAGGTTTTGTTTTTGGAAGTTGAGATGAAATGTCTTCATTTTTTATAACTTTGAGAAAAGTCATTATTATTTCAAGATTTTTATCTTTTTTTTGCCAAGTATTAATATTTTATCTTTCATTTCTTTCATCTTAATTTCAGTTGCTTTTTATTGTAATTCTCAGATTGTCATTCTATTCTTATTCATGGCCCCATTTTGATTGAGGATTTTTTTACGGCCTCCTCCTTGCCGTTTACTTTTACAAAAAATATATTACTAGAAATTTTTTTTTTTTTTTTTGTCAAAATTGTATTGCTGGTAATTTTTCTAAGTATGAAAATGCATTGCTGCTATTTTTTACTATAAAAATGTATTTTTATATTTTCATAGTGTTTTGACCCCAGTTTGGAGGTTAACTATTTACCCATAGCTGTGACCCTAACAGGTGCTACCACCCCAGGTCAGGGTGGACCTAGGAACAACAGTAATCAAAACCTCCTGATCAGAGGCCTTACTGTCACATGTAGTTTATTATCATACCCAAGACATGACTGCAGGATACCAATTATGAAATATTATTTCAAACACCTTTGTAATACCCAACTTAGGCACTAAAAAATTTTATAAGTTGATTTATAGCTTCAACTGAAGTCTTAATATTGTTTTCATACTAAAAGTATCATTGAGAATAAACTTGTTGGCATTCACAAATAAAAATGCATCTGAATATGCCAAGCACAAGTAAACTTGTAGCTGATGTCACAATAAAAATTGTCAATCACAAGTTAACGTGTTGTTGGCAGTCAATGTGTTAAAAAAAAAAATAAATAAAAAATAAAATAAATTTATCTTTTTACTTTAGGCAGTAAAAAATGTAAAAAGGTAATTTTTTAATTTTTTTTTTTATTTATATACTTTTGGTAACTGGTACATGATTAAAACTATGGAAACTGAAGAAGACCAAAGCAACACCAAAACTACAATGCAACAGACTCCTGAAAGACCCAAGTTGCAAGGAGACACACAAAAACAGACTTATAAACAAATACAACCTGAATGAGAATATGAAATCAAAGTGTAACATGCTGAGAGAAACACTAGCGATGTCAACAAATGAAATCATCCCAAAGAAAACTAGACAAGAAAGGAATGAATGGATGACAAAAGAAATTCTGAAAAAGTGACAACAAACAAGGCCAAGGAATGTAAAAGAATACTGAAGACTAATCACAGAAATTAAAAACAAATTTAGGCAAGCTAAAGAGGAGTTGATCAATGAAAAGTGTGAAGAAATAGAGAGAATATGCAACATAAATATAGCAAGTATGCACAAGAGAATAAAAGGACAAAAGATGAGCCAAACAGGCTTTATAAAATCAAAGGAGGGATCACTGATAATATAAAAAGGAAAGTACTCCAAATGTGGAGCCAATTAAATGTTAAAGAACATTTTCCACGATGTGAGAGAGAAACCTACATTGGAAAATACGGAAGAGTCCCAGATATTAAAAGATGAAGTAAGATAAGCACTGGAGAAGATGAACAGGAAGAAAGCAATGGGGTCTGATGGAATTGTAACAGAAATGCTCTTACTCTTAGATGATTTTGGCATCAACAAGATCACAGAAGTAATATTTTAAATATACAACAGTGGTGACATACCGGAGGACCTTACTAAATCCATCTTCATAACATTACCTAAGAGACCAGGCATAAATGAATGCAAGCTCTATAGGATAACCAATTTAATGAGCCACATAACTAAATTAATGATGTGAATCCTGATGAATAGAGTGCATAGCAGAATTAAACCAGAAATAGAAGAACAGTTTTGTCAAGGATACCGGAACAAGAAATACAATATTCATGATCATAATGATATCAGAGAGAGCAATACAAATGCAAAAGGATGTCCACTTATGTTTTATTGATTATGCAGAAGTATTTGTCAAGGTATGGCACAAGGATCTATTTTAACTGCTAGGAAAACAAGATCCATTTAGAAAAGATGCTAGAATAATCCAGTATTTATACTGGGATCAAACTGACTGTATACAGATAGAAAATGAATTGAGTAGCTGCACAAAAATAGAAAGGGGCAGGAGACAAGGATGTGTTTTCTCCCCATATTTGTTCAACCTCTACAGCAATGCTACCCTAAGAGAACTGGAGGAGACCCTACTAGGCTTTGTTAATGGTGTGCTTACTCTTAACAATATAATATACCCAGATGACAGTGTTGATGGTTGACTCAGAAAGAAAACTGCAGGATCTCTGAGAGAGGGTAGTTGAAGAAAGTGAGAAGAAAGGACTAACCATCAACTGTAAGAGGACAGAAAGTATGGTCATCAGCAAGAGAAAAATATCAACGTCTGAGTTACAAATTGGTGATATCAACATTAAGCAGGTGCAAAAGTTTAAATATCTGTGAATTGTTTTAACAGAAAATGTGACAAGGTCCAAACTCTAGATTAGACTAGCAAAAAGAAGTATTCCAAAAGCTAAGCTAAGGTGCCGAAAAATGGAAATTTTTTTGTTAGAAACAAAGAAAAGAATGGATTACTGTGTTTTATAATTTGTTACATGTACATAATACAAGTTATAACAGAAATACTTTAATGTAAAATAATAAAGTATTTAATTGCCAAATACAATTAAAATACATTAACACTAAAGAAGTAAAAAGACAATGGAAAGGTTACTGATTACTTATCAGTTAATACACTACTGCTTAGAGCTGCTAAGAAAAGTACTAATTCGTCTTGAACACATGACACTCAACTTTAATGTCCAGATTAACACAATAGTCAGAGATATTTGTAACCACCCAGTCAGTGGCATGATATCTTATATATATATATATATATATATATATATATATATATATATAGTAAATTGTGGTCTACATTTCCAGTGTCTAGAAATTCAAACTCCAGTTTCAGCAGGTGACACTTTTCATTCATATATATGACTGTGTGATATCCATCCTTCTATGTGACAGTGAAAATTCGATGGAGTGAGTGAGTAAGCAACAAGGATGTCTTAAAGAAAATGGCAACAGAAAGAACACTTATACTTGGAAGCAGGAAAAGATATCTGAATTTCCTTGAATACATAATGAGGAAGGAAGGCTTGGAAAGCTTAAACCTTACATGGCATATTGAGAGCAAGAGAGATAGGTAAAGGCAGTGAGCCATATTTGTGTGAATGCAGAATGAGGGTGGAAGGAAGCCTTAGGAAAGAAAGAAAAACTGCTGAGAACAAGAGATAAGAAATTGTGGAGAGCCATGATCGCCTATAGATAGGTGAAAAGTCATGCAAAGAAAGAAACAGTTTCCACTCCCCTTTCTACTTCTCTATTATAATAATTCCCTCTTATATTTCTTTCAACATTATATCACTTATATAAATACCATAATATTTGTATTGCCTGAGCCATTAAGCTCATGCAAAGTCACTTTGTAGTTATATTATTTATGTTATAGTTAGTAGCAAATAAGGGGAGACTACTCTGTAAATAGCATTTAATAGATCTCCATTTTGGAACAGACTTGCATGTGGATGCTTCCCAAAACACTGCAATCTTAATCTCTTCAAGTTTAAGGTTAATCATTACACTGTGTAACATGATTTTTCTCCTTGAGTAGCAACTGTTATTTCTTATTTGCTTATGCCTAGAAAGTATGAAAAATGGCTAATATTTCCTTCAAACTTTGCTTTTGTGACCAGGATAATGATATTTCTGAAATTTATCTATTCTCATTGGGAAAATTGGTGAATGTGAACATTTTCGATTACATAAAGTAGGAACAAAACGGCATATGATTCAAAAGTAGCATTTATTTATTCTCGGATCACACAAGAGAGACTGCAAAAACTTTAGAAATGAGTTGTTTTTTTGCGATTTATGCTGATACTGTAAATTACTTTCACGGATCAGCCCCCCATATATAGTCTCCCATCATATTTTTGCTATATGAACCTTGGTAGCCAGAACATTCTTGAAACTTGTAGAAAGCTCTATTTCAGCAACTCGGTGTTGAATCTGATTAAAATCTAATGGAAAATAGTTTAGTTTCAAAACATCAATGTCCAGGTAACAAAATCAAACTTTGAAGGGAATAAGTCATTTCTTTTACTTTTTAGACAGATGCATTTAAGAAATGATACTTACTGACCAAAGACAAAAAAAAGTCAAAATTTTGTTACAGTGTAATCTATCCTTGTAAACTCTACTTCCTCCTCTGACATTCATATCACATGCCTCATTCAGTAAACCACTACCATGAGTGGCTCTTAGGCTTTGTATTGGACGAACTTTAGTAATTTCTAAAGAAGTAATGGATTTTTTATTTATTAATCTAAAACAATAGAATTTGAATAAACATATATTATCTATTTCCCTTTTTAAATAATAAACATGGCTGTGGGTGTCAAAAGTGTATACAGTAATAGTAGTGTCAAGGGAATTGCCATATTTTTGACACACTGTTCATTTGCAGGTACAAAGGTTAAACATTGCCAAAATCTTTTAGCCCAAGTAACTTTATTCACATTGAATTATCATCTTTTCATCTTTCAGGCAATATTGTGAGCAATGAACGGTTGGTAAAAGATTCAGAAGGAATTCAGAATGCACATTTTGGAATCACCAAGGATGGCAATATTTACACTGGGTAAAGAAAATTCTTTCCTTTTCTTTAAAAAAACAAAAATAATAATAATAATAATAATTACTTTAAAGGATTTGTGTTGCCAAATAGACATGATAAAAAGGAACAAGAAACTTCAACCACTGTAGTTGGCAATATGAAAAGAAGAAAAAATTAAGAGAAAAAAAACATGCTATAGAATGATCTAAATGCTTATTGCTCCTTACTCGTTGGAACTCAACTGAGAAAATTAAAATATTGTACACACTGACTAAGAAAGAGAAGCAGAAAGAAAATGTGCTTGTATCAATAATATATTGATACAAGTATATCTATAAGGTCACACTAAGCCCTAACAAGCAATCTATTTGTTTGCATAAGGTTGGTTGTCTTAATTTAATATAAATTTTCTGGAGGGCTTCCAGTGACAGTTTGAATGTGATCTGCTCAACACTCAGTATATATCCTCATGGAAGATTGATGCACATGCCCAATTTTTAATAAAATGTTCTGAGATTGCTGACCCAGATGTAATTGGGCACATAGGTAAATTTTCAAGTTTGCCTTTTCTAATACACCAGTGGTTCCCAAATGGTGCAGCAGAAGAATATAGCAGGTGAGGCAGAATGATTGAAAGACAAAGGTTTAGAAACAATTTCAAAAAATTCATATGCCAAAAATAAATATGATTTCAAAATTTAAAATATTATTATGGATTACTTGTAATTGAAGCATGAATCCCATTATAAAAAGTTATAAGTAATTATTGACCGATTTTATCATTATGATATTTTTGCAATATATCAAGTATTAAGAATATTGTAACTAGAGTCTGCAAATTGTAGGAGAGAGTTATCAATGATAATGTTCTGACTTTAAATCCACAGTTATCTCCCTTTAACACTATCTCTGTTTTTATTTTTAAATGTACTTTTTATCACATAAAATTTGGTGAGTAAAGAGCAAATTTTAATTTCGAAAAATGCAACCCAAAGAAAAAAATGTTTGTGAACCACTGTAATACACACTGAGATATGTTTGGAAATTCTCTTCTCTAAGAGTTGAATGGTCCAGCTTCAAACTGATACTTAAACTTACAGAACTTGTTTGAAAGACAGATAAGCCATCTTCATGAATTGATTTTGGCATTTGTTGAGAAGAGAACATGATACCTGAATTGGAAGAAAAATAACATTGTCTGACATTGGTAGAGATCTGCTTAGAAGGTTGCACACTAACTTCAGCAATTGAAGGTATACAGGGCATTGTTCAAGAGCAAATATTTTTTATTTATGGAATCTTAACATTAATTCTAAATTGTACCATGTCCTGAGGATAGCCACTGTTACAAAATATTTTCTTAATAAATTCTAATTCTTGTTTTAACTTATTTGTAGATCAGATAAAGAAAGCATGATGGACTAAGGCAGTGTTTCTCAACCAAGGTCTATATGGACTCAAGAGGTCCATGCAACATTACTGGGGGTCCACACAAAAAACAAAGAAGATTGGGGATTCACAACAATATTTTAGTGGTCCATAGAGCAATTTCACTTCAGAGCAGTTGTCACAAATGAGATTTGGAATTTCTACAGTAATCTATGCCATATTAAAATACTAACATTTGAAAAAACAACTCTAAAACTAGTAGAAAACGTGATCAAGCAATGTAAGTGAGTGTCCCTTTTACTCTACTGGATATTTTGATTGTAAAAGTTGATAATAAAAACAAAAAAGAATATAAAAAAGATATATATATATATATATATATATATATATATATATATATATATATATATATATATATATATATATATATTTATTTTAAAGACATTTTATGTTTAACGTTCTTTTTTTATAGATACAAATATTTAAGTAAATGCTCTGTTTATAATAAACAGTATCCGGAACTGTCATTTATGTCCAAATTGGCCACAATATTCCTTTTGTGGCCGAGTCGAACCTGCATCCTCACGGCGTCATTTAAATGACGGGTTCCATATAGGATGCAGGTTCGAATCACTGTCAAAGAACGTATATTTTCTATGAAAATTTCTCAGACATTCAAGCCGGTAAATGTTATTTAATACTGTTTATTATAAACAGAGCATTTACTTAAATACTGTATCTATAAAAAGAACGTTAAACATAAAAATGTGATTTTAATAAATAAATTGTTATCTTTTTTGTCCATTTTCTTATATATATATAAGGAAAATTATATAAAGATGATAATTTTATAAATTTTATTATATAAATTAATTTAATATATTAATAATAAATAATATAATTTTAAATATTAATAAAATATTAATATATTACTATAAATTAATCAATATAAAATATAAAAAAAATAAAATATTAATAATAAAATTAATTTAATATATAAATTGTATAAGGATTATATATAAAGAAAACACATACATTTTCTATTTCTATAATACAATTCCTAAAATTATCTATTAGTAAAAAATAAAATAAGCTTTTTTGTCATCGAATTGTTATGGGGGTCCACCAAAAAGAATTAGGAGTAAAAGTGGCCCATGGGTAAAAAATAGTTGAGAACCACTGGACTAAGGTCATTATAATATTGATTTTTTGATTTTTTTTTTTTTTTTTTTTTTTTGTCTAGGACTAAGTAAGACCTAACTATTATATAATCCAGTAAACATGGGTTTTCGGTACATAGATATAAGAAACTTAAAATTTTGTCAGCAAACACAGACAAATGTATCTGCAATAAGAGTTACTGTCAAAAGGATAGTTTATCCCATGACACCATTTTTAATTTAAATACCTTCACTCTTTGTCAATGTTTATTGTTTTAAAAAGTGATTGAAATAAAACCTAAACACAGGATGAAAGTGAATTTATACATTTTTTTGTTGTTCTTGAGAATTCACAACAAAAATATTAAACACTATTTATTTATTAGATTGTTTATTTACAAGAATAGTTTTATATTTACAACATTATAAAATCTAATGCAATATTTACCAATTTATAAAGAAATAAATGTGAAAACAATTTTTATTCATAAATTTATAAACATTTACTAAATTATTAAAATAAGTGAACCAATTATAATGAAATCATTATTTACCATTTTATAAAGTTTGAATCAATTGGCAATTAGCTGATGTTTTGCCAACCATTTCAATAAAATATAATAGTGTAAATAAACAATGTAATAAATAGTGTTTATTATTTCTGTTCTCAAGAACAAAGAAAATGTATAAATTCATTTTCATTATGCTTAGGTTTTATTCCAATTCTAATCATCACTTTTTAAAAAAAATAAACAGGTAGTTAAAAAAAAAAAAGGTGGTGTCATGGGAGAAACCATCCTTTTGACACTCTGTATTATTGTGGGCACGTTTCTCTATGTTTGCAATATTGTCTTGGTACCAACACATCCAAAAGTGGTAAAACACCATCACTCTCCTTTTTATGGAGAGCTAGATGTAAACCATTTAAAACTCCATGAAACATCTTCGATTACAACTCACAATTGAACACTGTTTTTTTTTCTTATTTATACTATTTACATTTGAAACTAGACGAGATATCATTAGACATAGGCAATGGAACAAGAACAGTCTCCCCCTGTAGATTAAATAAAGGGTTCAGTTCTGAATTCCCTGTAGGTTGCCCAGATCGATATACACCTGATGAAGGTTGGAGGACGCAGTGGTTGAAATGTTGTGCTAACTGCTGTAGCATACATACAGACAATAATGATTATGCCCCCATTCCCATAAATATAGTAGTGAATACTGTATGTGTTGGTCTGCAGGTCAGATATTCATTGTGGAATTCACTTAACTCACTTCTAGCAGTTTACTTCTGTGTGCCACTGGCAAATCTTATATGTGTTGTTCTTGTCCTAAGTATTATCATTCATTACCAACCTTTGTTTGATTATTCTATTCAATAACCTTCCCTAGGTTACAACAATAACAACAAAAATGAAGAAAATAGTCTGATTGTAAATAGTGTAAATAATAACTCCTCATTCAAGAAATTCAGAAACATTTTTTATTTCTTTTTTTTTTTTTTCTTATTGCCAACTCGTGAAATTGAAGTTTTTCTATTGTCCACTTTTAATTATGTCTTTTCATTATAGTAATTAAATTTTATGCTTCTAATAAGATCTTTTAAAGTATTTTTTCATATTTTTTCTATTTTCTATATAAATTCTTATAAATGATTTTAATGTACAGGGTGGTCCGAAAGTCTTGTCTCCTCATACCAAAAAATAATGAAACCAATAGCAGAACAAGTAAAACAGTAATACAAAGTCATGTCACATATCCTCCATGCTCTTGCTCAAATGCACATGATCATGTGTCTATACACTTGCGATCAGCCTCTCTTCCAAACTGTAGGAACTTGTGTTCACCATATCAAATAGAAAATTATATTATGTAGGGGTGACTAAACTTTTGGACCACCCCATAAATCCAGCAAAATTCAAATCTTCTTCAAATTTATCCTTTTTTTTTTTTTTTTTTTTTCTGCTATTTATATTTTGTCAACTGCAACTTTAATGATTTATTTTCCAAATCTTAGATACTTATCAGAAATTGATATTGTTGCCCAAGATTTTGTCCAGTTAGTTGGTGGAGTGATTTGGTTAGTACGAGATGGTGAGATTCACATCAATGACAGCATGAAAATGGAATGCTCAGATGCACAAGAAACTGGTAAGCAAAAAGGTTTCCCTGCTTGCTTTTTTTTTCTTTTTCTTTTTTTCAACTTGATGCACTTTATTTCATGGATATTACTGTGTACTTCCAATTGCAAATCATCAACTGCTTCATAATTCATTTCAAATGTTTTAATAAATACTGTATTTCTTGTATTATTTTATACAAACTTTAAAAATTTACATTATTTATGAACCCATACCTAATTAGTTATAGAGAGTGTTTTTTTTTTGTTTTTTTTTTTAAGCATTACGCCCCGAGCAAGGCGTGAAGCCACAGGGGGTTGCAGATGATTTGGAGCAAGAGCAGATAGGAGTGATAGAAGAAAGGATGAGGAGAGGGATAGTGGATAGATCAAGGTAACTGGAGATGTTGATTGACATTACATTTGAATAGTTGGAGATTGTAACTCTCAGGGAAATAGTAATAGGGAAGGGTATTCCACAGGCGAGAGGTGTGAGGTATGAAGCTATTGGAGTAGAAGAGACGGTTACATTTAAAAGTTTCTACAGTGTAAGGGTGGGAGCGGGATGCCAGCCTCATAGGGCGCTTGAATTCATGGAGTCTGGGAACCAGCGAATGCAGCTCATTGGAGCAATTACCATGAAAGTATTTGTAGAAAAGACAGAGAGGCGATGGCGCGTCTGTGAGAGAGTGACTGTAGACAAGACGCCAGATCAGGGCCAATTATATTACATATCCGTCTCTGGATCTTGTCAAGAACTCCGAGATAAACAGAAGGTGCCCCAGACCATATATGGCAACAATACTCCATGCAAGGGCAAATGGTTGATTTGTATATTTGAAGTATCGATTCCGGGGAGAAAAATTTCCTGGCGCGGCACAGAGAGCCAACTTTCCTCGCGGTGGATGATGCAATTAACTCAATGTATTTGTTCCATCTCAGGTCAGCAGTCAACGTGAGAACGAGCAGATGCAGGGAATTGCTCTCAAGAAGTTGACTATCAGACATTCTAATGAGGGGCAGGGAAGGATCTCTATGGTGATTAATAGAGAGTAGTTTAGTTTTTGAGGCGTTAAAGTTGACCAGCCAATTCTTGCTCCAATTAACAACTGATTGGAGGTCCATTTCAAGACGCACGTGTTAGACATTTTCATGACGGTCATCCTCGAGTATCGAATCCAGAGGTTGGCAGTGAATATTTCGAAGACAGTAGGAAAGCGTAGTGGAGGTTCGCAGTGGCTATCACAACAGAGTGTAGTTCATCCTTCTCCTGGTCGCCTTTGGTCCTTCCGTAGACGAAACAAGATGGCCGCCTTTATACACGACGAATACAGTGTTACAAGCTTCTGATTGGTCAACCTTCCATTGGTCGACTATAAAGGGAAATAAGTCATTCTGACTCACTCACTAGTTATATCGTAATATATACCCAAAAAACCGTAACAGCCCCCTTATTTTGGGTATATAATGGAATCTTCGTTCAAAAAATATTAGTAAAGTTAATAAATACTTTAATTCCAAAAATGATATTTTTTCCTTTTTTTTAAAAGGTAATATTAATATGTAACAAATACTTTAGTATTCCAAATTTTATTTTTATGTTTTTTTATTTTTTTATTTTCTTGAAAATTAATATTCACAAAAATTAGTCATATCACTTTGTTCACAGTTAAATACTTCGGGTTAATAGAACATGAACAACAATATTATAAGTTTAGATTGCGATCACAGCAAAAAAAAAGTGGAAAGAATTGTTACTTTTACCCATAGCTGGGACCCATTAAAACAGTTACTATCACTCCGGGTCAGAGTGATCCAGAAAAAATCATTTATTATTTTATCCATAGCTGGGACCTATTAAAACAGTTACTATCACTCCGGGTCAGAGTGATCCAGGGAATCATTTACAAGAGGATTGGGCTCAAGGTAGGACCATTTACCTTTATACCCCGAAACCAAGGACTTACGTTCATACCAAAAACTGAACTGACGCTTCTTAGGACAGTAATGCAGTTTTACGTCCTACCCAGGACCTAATAAGGACCTTACAGGGACTTAACGGATGCAGTTTTATGTCCTACCCAGGACCTAATATAGGGGCCTTAATGGATGCAGTTTTACGTCTTGCCCAGGATCTAATATAGGGGCCTTAATGGATGCAGTTTCACGTCTTGCCCAGGACCTAATAAGGGCCTTAATGGATGCAGTTTTACGTCTTGCCCAGGACCATTATAAGGGTCTAAGAAGTCAGCACCAAACATTGCAGAAGCAAAAAGCCTGTAGTTTCCATTTCATAATCGGTTTTTACAAATAAATCCGCCATATTATTTCCCGATTGAACATATTCAATTTGTACTGTTTTCTTCTGTACTTGGTCCCTTAACAAACTGATATTTTATATTGATATGCTTTGATCTTTAATGTTGAATTTCTAGACAAAGCAATACTGCTCTGATCACCGAGTAAATAATAATTGGCTCAGTTATTGCCAGTATTATAATTGTTTTTCATTAGCAATTTAAGAAAAATAACCTCTTGTGTTCTTTTTCACAATGCAATACATCCAGCTTCACAAGTAAAAGGTGAAATCTTTCGCTTGTTCTTAATTCCTGCTGATTATTGGGTTACCATCCGCTAGCTTAAAGCTATAGCCTGTTATATTCTTATGGTCTGGTGAATTGGTCCAATCAGCATCACAAAATTCTTCCAATTTTTAATAATTTATTGGATTGTCAAAAATACTAGGCATCGACTATTAGTCCACTTCAGATAGCGTAATACTTGCTTAAAAATTGTTAAAATGTACAGTCCCCAGTTTCTTTAAGTTTTGGGATAACTTAGTAACCGTATAGCAGATTATTTTGCCTAGTTCATATCATCATGCAAATAATACTTCCGACCAATATTCTGTATTCATTTTCACACTCCGCTATACCATCTTCTTTATTCCTAATTGTGCTTCAATCCATTTCACATGGAGTAGTTCTTGTTTTGCATGTTAAATTTCGATAAAAGCCTTTCCATGTATCTCGATTAATTCATTGAAATCGTGTTGTCTTTAAATTTTTACTGTACACCAAGAAAAACATGATAGTTCGACCGAAATTGGTCATTTTATAACTCATTTCTAGAGAACTAATAGCGCGGCCTCACTCTTTGATACAATTAACATATTTTTGACCCAAATAACTACAATTACTGATATTTCATTAAATGTCTGTGTACAGACATGGGTCAACTTGAGGAGATTGAAATTATTGTGTCATTAAATAACAACGGATTAAATTATTCCATGTTTTTTCCACTCATTTTGAGTCCATATAGTGACTTTTTTAAGTTTTTTTTCTTAAAGTTTCCATACATAATCATCACTTTTTTGCTTTTTTTTTTTTTTTTTTAACCTTCTGGTGGTTCCATATACATTTCATAGTCGATGGTGCATTCTGAAATAAGCCTCTTTCAACATCCCTATGATGGACATCTTTACCACAATGGGCATCCATTTGCATCAAAACCCTAATTAAGACTTAATGTCACTACATAAGTCATCCGCCCCATATATCTATAAAAATAAAAATTAGCTACTAAAAACGAACATCGATACTGGTGATCTATTCTTAGTTAAGCTTTACAGTGTAAACCCAACGGCTGCCAATGATATTTCTATCATCAATTAATTAAGACTTAAGATTTCTACATAAGTCGTCCCCCCCCCTTATATCTATGAAAATCCGTTAACTATAAAACGAACCTTGTAGATTGACGATCTATCCTCAGTTCGCTCTACAGCACGGCTGCCGATGATGATCATCATCATCATCCGGGGCGTTTTGATTCAAAAAGTGTCCCAATACTAAAGATTAAATTTCTTTATTTTTGACTTAAATTTCTTCTTTTTTTTTTTCTTTTTGAAGGCATGGCCGCTCTGATCCTAACAAAATGTATGGCTTCTTGGTAGTTTCTTGAGATACATTTGTACTGCATAACAACAGTTAATATTACATTAATTCATTTCACAATAGCCTGGCTTTTCTCCATTTTGGTCGGAATTTGCACCTGATTTTCTTCTTCTCGTATACCTCATCTGGTATAGTACCTTCCTCTGCTTGTGGACTCTGAACGGGTTTTCTACCCATAATTAGGCCATACTTAATTCGGGTTGGACTAGTTCCTCGCAATTAATATATATTTTTTTCAGGTTCCTCCCCTCGCTCAAAGGAATTTATCAATCTGACGCATCTGATCTTCCTCATCATTTTTCTTTTAAATCATATAATCTGGACTTGGCTTATCCTACCCAATAAATATGTCCCTTTCATTTTTTGGATCTAATTCCGCCCTGTGGTCAACATATATACAGCAAATTATATCAAAAATATGCATATCACTCACATTGGGCTCTCATTGAGTTTTTAGTTTCTTTCTCAATGCATAAAACCAGTTTCTTGGGTAATTTAAATTCTATTAACAAACATCTAGCCATTTCAAAAAGTGTCCTCCAACTGCGTTCAGCGACTCCGTTCTTATGCGGAGAATAAGAACAGGTTTTCTCATGTTTTAATGCCTTCATTTATTTAATTTATTAGGAGGTTTTTGTAAGCATCAGAAGTAAATTCTCCATCATTATTTTTAATTTTCCATGCGGGGGAGTTTTCGGATAAATAGATTTTCGTAGATTGCATATTATCAAATTTACTTTCAGAAGGTAAATCATAAGCCCTGACTATTCGGCAACAAAGTTTAAGTTATTTTCCTTAATATAAGTGTCACAATATTTTAAATCCTTTGGAAGTATAATTTCTATTCCAGTGACATGTTCTTGCAATCTTTTAACATCAGAATTCTTACAGTGGTCTAATATCTTATGCCAAGTTCTTAAGTCATGCGTGGCCATCTTCGCAGACTTAACACTTTTCAAATAATACGAACGTCCATATTGCTGTATATTAAATCCAGTTCTGTCTGGATATCTTGAATTTAAAATATATAAAGCCCTTTTTTTTAAAATAAACATTCTATATATTTCCTCTAGTATTTCAAGAGATATAAGTACAGGCACTACCTCTCTTTGACGCTAAATTATTAGCTCTGGTGCCGTCCAGTAACTCGATAAAATGTCAGTCGAGCTCAAAATTGGGTCAAAATTAATAAATTTTGTTACATCTATAATTACACGATTTGTCGCACCCGAATTGACCGAATCACAAGTACTGGCCACAGTACTCAATCCAAACAAAAAAGGCATATGTGCGTCCATTCGAAAAAGTTCAGTTTTTTTTTGTTTACAAAAGTCATTCCGTGTATAAAATTGACATTTCCGCACGGACATGGCCGACATTATTACCACAACGAAAACAACATTTTTTTTTGCCTCGATTTTGGGGGGTACATATTTATCATATTGCTTCATAATTACGTAACGCAATTTTAAACTCCGTGAAAGTTACTTATTATCTTTTTGAATTATCACTGTCGTGAATGGTTTGAATGAAGGTGGCAAACCCTTCAAGACCATGGCTATTTGTAGCCCATCAGAGAGAGTCTCACCTGCAATTTTAAAGCATTTCTGACATTCTCTGCTAAAATAATTGGTTACTCATTCATTTTCTTTTCTCTTTAACGCGGTTAGTTAAAGTATATGAAGCAATAATTTTAGGCTTACCTTTTAACAAATAGTATTGGTTTAAATTTGTGTAGGGCTCGGCTTCCACTGTCCTTGGCCTCCCTCATTATTAAAGACAAACTCCCATCATCCAGGAATTGAATTAACTCAGCGAAAACGGTTGCATTTCTTCATAAAATCATGATGTCCTGGAGTTTTCATATTCTTAGGTAGCCTAAAAAAAACTTTGTCTCCCATAATTCATATCCAGATTCATTCCCGTCAAAATAAATCGTAATCTGGGCCTCATAACCTATGTTAGACATTTTCATGACGGTCGTCCCTTTATATCGAATCCAGAGGTTGGCAGTGAATATTTCGGAGACAGTAGGAAAGCGTAGTGGAGGTTTAGTGGCTATCACAACAGAGTGTAGTTCATCCTTCTTCTGGTCGCTTTTGGTCCTTCCGGTAGACGTAAAACAAGATGGCCGCCTTTATACACGACGAATACAGTGTTGGGCGGCTTCTGATTGGTCAACCTTCCATTGGTCGACTATAAAGGGAAATAAGTCATTCTGACTCACTCACTAGTTATACGTAATATATACCCAAAAAACCGTAACAGCACGGCCAGGTTAGTTTTGTCACCAACGCTAGATTTGATTTTGAGGCAGGAGTAAATTGTAGTGTCGTCCGCATAGATGCCAACTTGGGAATCTATGCCGTCAGGATACAAGTCTTTAATTTTGGCTCCAATATGTAAATCCTGAATGGATTGCATTAACTGATTAATAATATAGTGTGTAGCAGAAATACCTCCCACATAATGGTAAGATATTAATGGTAGTGGTGTCTTCATCTAGATAATGTTTTACCATCATGTGGGAGGTATTTCTCCCACACCCTGTATATATACTTAAGATCAGAGTGCAGCATAGTTTATTTTTATGTAAAATACATTAATTTTTATCTATGCAAGAAATATTCAACTCATTAATAAAGAAATGTATACTTCTACAGAAAAGCATTTCCAGTTTAGTTTTTATTTTGTCTCTCTTTCCTTCAATCTGTGGTGTCCTCAGTATCCTTCTGTAGAACCATATTTCCGGTGCTTCTAGTCTCTTCATATTTGAGGAGATTGTTTAGTATTTACTGCCATATAGGAGGACAGATATCACGTAACAGTTCAGTAACATTTTATTTGTTTCTAATGAAGTTGATTTACTTCACCGAAAAATCCAAATGTAGAAAATTAAGGGGAGATAACTGTTATATCTTAATGGTGCTTTTCTTAAATTGTGTATCATTTAAAAATTACACTCTTTAATTTGATTGTTGCTTATTTATGATAATGAATGGCATTTAGTTTGCTTGAGAGTATTGTTTAATGTTGAAATCAGTTAAAGCCAGGAAATTTATTGGACAATGAAAATAAATTTATAAATAAGAAATTGATCAAAAAATATATATATTAAATTTAAATAAATAAAAAAGACTAATATGAAATTAATATAGAATATTTAATTTATTTACACATATGATAGGACAAATATTTAGATGGGTTTGTTTTTCATCATTTTCTACGCGTTTTTAAATATTCCTAGAATGAAACCAAAATGTTAAGCAACATTATGTGAATTAAGACTTCAATGACTAATTTATGGAGAAAAATGTCATTCATCATCATTAATAAACAACATTTTTAAATAACACAATTTAATAGTCTTATTTAGATATGAACGTTATTTCCTTTTAATTTTCTTTCGATTTTTTTTTTGAGAAATATGACATTCACTTTTATGGATTGCCTCTCATTTTTCAGTAGTACATCTTTTAAATGAGTCTTTCCATACACCGTTTTTGCAAATACAGCAATTCCTTAACCCTTGAACTGCAGATGTCTGAAGAATTACCTTAAATGCAGTTCTATGATTTAACTCCAGATGACTGAAGTCAAGTTTGATCTTCAAAAATTTAAATGCAATGTTAATTGTTATCTTCTGTCTTCTTAGTTTCTGTTCTTTTATTGTCCTTGCTCCTTAATAATGTTTTCTCTTTCTCATATTCTATCACATCCAGTAACATCTTGCATCTCAATGGTTTCATTGCTTTGTTTGGGGTGAAATGATTTTAAAAAAAAAGAAAAAAAGTCAATCTGCTCAATATTGCAATCCTCATTTTTGGTATATATATATATATATATATATATTTACTAGCCTAACTGGACCAAAACTCTCATGTAAGTTTTGTTTTTTATTCCAAAACTTGTCCAGAAATATTTGGAGTGCATCTTTGAAGCCTATGTACCTTTGCCAAGAATTTATGCTATAAAAAATTTAAAACTCAAATCAAAAAAATTATCAAAGAAATATTGTTTGTAAAATGTTATTATTTGGAGCATGAATTAAATCTTTGTATTTTAAAGAATTATTTCATTTCAGGCAACTTTGAACGATTTGTGAATGTCATATCTGCCCGCACAGCTGTTGGACATGATAAAAATGGCAAAGTGATGCTTGTCCAAGTAGATGGACAGACTGACCAACGAGGGTAAGAAATTCACATTATTATTATTATTACCATATATACTATATAAGTTGACTTCAATTATAGTGCAACCCTTGAAGTCTAACCCCTCCAGAAAAAAATTACTTGTGTATAATGCAACTGGTCACCAAAAAGGTCCTCTTAAAAAAAAAAAAATATTACCTCTGTATAGTGCAAACCTTTATTTTTTTGCATAAAAAAATGGTCATAAAATCTTGCATTATACTCAAGTATATATGAGATTTCTTCTAACTCTTGTCTCAGAGATACTAATACTATTTCAGTATTAATGATCTATAGTGGTTGATAAGCTGGTAAAATAACCAGTCTTTTATCCCTGTCAGAATTCTGAAGCAAATCATTGCAAAGTAGAGACAGAAAGTAAAAATAATTCATGCCATTTAATAATACCAAATTCAAAAAATCCTTTGTAATACATAAGGAACTTAATCACTTATAAATACATGATGTAAAAAAATTTTTTCTTCCATATTTAATAACTTCACAAAAGGCAAAATTCTTTGGGCAATTATTTTTCCAAGAAAACTTCTACATCTCACTTTAAAGAACTCTGATTTGTAATCCAGGAAACAGGATAACATTTATATTCTTAGATAAGTGGCCTCTCTTTTTGTGAATTTGTAAATTCTTCTTGAAAAATATTGTCTTTATAATCTTCAACAAATTTTAAATAATACTTGGCTTTCTGATCTAGATTGGCTAGCATTGAAACCCCAGTTCTCATATGAAGATTGAAGTTAAGTCGCATTGAAACTGGAAAGTACCTAGATGGGTGACCATTTGGAAGTACCAGGTGTTGTAAGTTTGTGTGTGCAAATGGTGTAATGAATAATAGCATGGAATTGGTAATCAAAGAGCCGAGTTCCAATTTCAGTTGAGTTCATTATATTCATTTATGTGCAGATAACCTTGGGAAAGGTATGAATTCACTCCCAGCTATAGGTTAATTAGTAGGACCTGTATCAGTAAATCATTATCTCTAAAAGAAAAACAAATCTCAAAATATTTTCTGGCTTTAAATAAAATAAAACAAATCCCAACCCATATAAAATACTCTTTAAACTACTGACTCTCCTATCCTCCTGGTCACTACCCTCTCCCACATAAAGGCATTCTACCTTGATAACACATAGAAAATGAATCAATCAAGCAATCATTTCCTGTCTTGACATATCAGTCTTTTTTCTTTTTTTTTTTTGCATGTAGAGTGAGTGGCTATTGTTAAATATAAATAAATGGCAGAACTGCCCAATAAACAGAATTGTCAAAACTTGCAATAACAAGAACAGGGCAAAAATAATATAAAACAAGCAAAGAATATATGCAAGGCAAATTAACAGCAATATGGCAAAGCAACAGTAAATTGGCAAAAAGTTCACAAACTAAGAATTGGAGATGACACACAAGCATTTGTCTGCTTCTGCCTATAAATTGGAGAGGGGAAAGTATTTTGCAATCATTCCCTGTTGGGATTGAAACCAAAAATGGAAAAAAAATTCCTGGGGAAATAAACTTGAATGCTAAACATAATCACTATTTACAGTTTTAAATACATTGCTTATCTATTTACAAATGCTTCATTTTTAAAATGAACATTGTCCTTAGTTTTTAATAATTTCACAAAAGACTAATTGTGAAAAGTATTCTTCCCTGCGATTGGTTTGTCATGCTCCATTAATGTGTGATTTTAACATTTTGCAATGCTCTGGTAGTGAAAAAAGAATCAATGTTTTCATTAGTAAAATAATTGCCATGGAATTTGTTCCAACAAAAATATATAATGTTACCATATAACATAGTTACATTTTTATTGTTGATTCTTAGCTCTGCTACGTTGTTAGAACATTGTTGCCTGGCTCTGAGTGATGAAATTATATCCATTATTTATTCTTGTTCCCAAAAGTAGTTCATGTATTCAGCTATTCTTTTGTTGCCTCTGTTCTACTCTTTTTCAAACTAGATCTCTTTCTGATCACTTCACATCAAAACCTGTTGGCTGAGTGTGAGCACTACAAAAACAAAATTAAAAATAAGAGTCACTCTCTGCACAGGGATTATGACCATCACATCCAGCTCACAAAACAAATCCCAACCCATATAAAATACTCTTTAAACTACTGACTCTCCTATCCTCCTGGTCACTTCCCTCTCCCACATAAAGGCATTCTACCTTGATTTTTTTATATCTGCAATACAGAGAATTGTAGTAACATATCTTGTCTCCTTTTCAGTGTCAGGCCTGTACACTACTGCCTCTCCTATCCTCCAGTTCATTTCCCTCACCACATACCTGCAATACAGAGAATATTATTTTAACATATCTTGTCTCCTTTTTTTCCACCTCACCAGCAGTACTTGCTGTTTTGTTTGCAACCATATAGTGTATAACATCTCTTACAGATACTTTACAGTGAGGAATCATCTTTTATCACTGCATTTTAATCTTATTTTCCTTTTCAGAATTAACTTGTATGACTTTGCAAACCTTCTTCTGGAACTTGGTGCAATCAATGCAATTAATTTGGATGGTGGAGGGTCAACCAGTTTGGTCATCAATGGTACTTTGGTCAGTCAGCCATCAGATATGTGGTATGTGTCTTTAACCTATTCTGAAGTATTTTCCATACCTGCTAGGAAATTTGGGTAGAAGAGGATTAGGCAAAGATGAAAATTGTTACACTGTATAGCTTGTCATCTTTAATAAGATTTTTCAACAGATTGGGCCAAATTTAAGAATTTATTTTCTACATTTAACTGACTGATTTAGTTGGTTCTAATCCATATTGGAATGACTGTAAAAGCAAACCCCTCTCCAAATTTATAGACAAAACATACAAATGCATTCTGGGATTTCTTTCTAGCCAATAAGATAGACCAATTGTCAGTCTCATCTGCCATATTTTTGTTCTTGTCTTTATTTTTTTTTTTTTTAATTAAGTATGTAATTCTTTTTCTTCCAAGTGCCACCAGGATGTGAGTGATTATGGCTCTCCACATTTTCCTGTACTTTGTAGCTCTTAGTAAAGTTTGTCTTTTTGCTATATCTTCTAATCCATGTTTTGCCAACCATTTACACAATCTCATTAGGTAAGTTGTGTTGCTTTCCTCTTGCTTTCAATATGTCCTGTGAGTCTCAAATTTTCTAAGCCCTCTTTCCTCATGTGCTCCAGAAATTTCAGTGGTCTCTTTCTGATGCTATGTATAAGCATCTGTTAGTTCCAAAGGAATGACTGCAAAAACTTCCTCCTCCACACATTTATAGATAAAATATACAGATTTCTTCCTAGCCAATAATGTCGGCCACTTCTTGGTCTCATCTAGCTTAGTTGTGTTCATTCTTGTCTTGAAATCAGAAAGCTGTGACACTTGTCCGTATACCTTTCGTGTGTTAAAACCATTCTTAGTTTCTGAACCTTTCTGCCTTATTATCGTTTGCTTTATATTATTTTTAACCTATTCTTTTCTTTCTTTTGTTATTGTTTATTGCAAACTTTGTCAATTCTGTTTGTCAAGCATTTCTGCCAATTACAATTAACCATGGACAAATTACTCTACAGATTTGTTTTTTACTGGTTATCAACCTTTACAGGTTAGAAAATACTTTTAGATTGTAAGAATTTTTTGAAGATCAAGTCCTACTAATTAACCCATAGCTAGGGAGAGAGAGAAAAGGTGAATGCATACCTTTCCCAAGGGTATTAGCATCTAAGTGAATATAACGAATGCGACTGGAATTGGAACTTAGCTCTCCGATTTCCAATTCTAAACTGTTATCAATTAGACCTCATGCACATCCAAGGTTACAGCACCTAGTATTTTCAAATGGCCATCCATCTAGGTACCGACTAGATTCGATGTTGCTTAATGTTGGTGATCCTATGAGAACCAGTGTTTCAATATGATGTGGCCATAAGTTTAAATGTAACTTCAATTGGAGTCACAATGAAATTAACTATCAAAAAGAAAAAGATGGTATAATTTCTCATAAGCAGCCATCTATTTGGTCAACTCTTATCAAAGAGGAATATTGATAAATTTAAAATATTAAAACACAAAATGGGTAAGGGTTGATTAAAATACTTTATGCCTAAAAGGAATTATACCATCTGTTTCTTTGTTGTGGAGGGGGGCGTTAAAGAGTTAATTTCAATATGTTTAAACGTTTCTATTTTTTTTAATTAGGTATGTAATTCTTTTTTTTCTATGTGTCATGTGTCAGGATGCGAGTGACCATGGCTCTCCTCAACTTCCTATCCTTTATAGCTCTTAGTAAAATTTGTCTTTTTGCAATATCTCTTCATCCATGTTCAGCAAACATGTACACAAGCTCATTAGGTAATTTATACACTGCTTTCCTCTGACCCTCTTGCCTTCAATATGTCTTGTGAGTCTCAAATTTTCTAAGCCCTCTTCCTCATCATTTTCTAGAAATTTCAGTGGTCTCTACCAGATGCTACATAGAAGAATCCCTTTTGTTTCCACAACTGTTTTAATCGGATACTTTAAAAACAGTAACAGAAGTTAGAAAAATCTTGACATTTATATAAAATTAATCACACAGTTGGTTCATTGACATTTCTGTGCAGAATCTTTGTAGTTCAGGAATAGGCATTCAAATAAATTATCAATGTGCAAAAATATTGCATGAAAAGGTGGAAACATGTTGAAAATTTGGGTCAAAAAGAAAAAAAGTGCTGAAAATTTTTTTATAACAAGGATTATTGAGAAGTTAAAATATCAAAACACAAAATTGATAAGGCTTGAAGTTGAAATATTAAAGCACAAAACGAATAAGGCTTGAAGTTGTGTAGATTAAATAAGTCTACTGCTCTCCCAGCAGTCACTTGTACAAATCACAATATCGCTGGTTGAATTCACTTTCTTCCCACGTCACTACGTATAGCCAACATTTCTTCTCTTCTTTCACGGCTCCAGCACTCTTTTATCAGGCCAACACTGTGGTTCCCCAGCCAATCAGCGTTCTTAGCTGTTATTCTCGTTTACACAGGCAAATTGCCTCCTCTAGTTCGACCAATCAGCACACGACTTGCTATTGGTGGAAGCATTCCAAACTGTACAAAAAACCCTCATCCTTGCACATACTGTTAGAATGGCTGGACGGGAGAGTAATGCCATTTTTACAAAGCAAACTTGTTGATGTCACGTGCCGCACGTTAAGGTAAGACCCTTATTTTCCTATACACTAGATGCAAGCCACTCTGGCTCACTTGCTTCTACGGAGCTGTTCACTACAAGTTGAAATATCAAAGCACAAAACGGATAAGGCTTGTAGTTGAAATATCAAAGCACAAAACAGATAAGACTTGATCAAAGAGATGGCTACTTAAGTGGAATTATAACAACAGTATTTTTTTTCTGTAAATTTCAACATTTTTGTCTAAATTTCTGGGATTAGAAGTTATCATTATTTACACTATTTATATTCAGACTATTGTCTTCATTTTTGTTGTTGTTATCACAGTATTTTAGCCATTGTGCCATCCAGACTTCCTCAGGTGTATATTGATCTGGATAACTTACAGGGAATTCTAGACTGAACTCTTTATTTAATCTACAGGGGTAAACTGTTCTCGTTCCACTGCTCATGTCTAGAGATATCATCTAGTTATTATTTTCAGACCAGAATGGTTATAATCGTTGAGGTCAAGTCAGCTTTGCACCAAACTCAAATGACCAAAGTAAAGGTTGTACTTACTTCATCAGTAAAGCTTCTGCAAAACACACCTGAACGCTATACGTTGGAAAGAATACGGTTCTGTCCTTTTCAGAATTAGGATCATAAAATTATGCAGATGACCAAAACACATTCCAGTTCCTTTATTACTAGCATCAAGAGAAAATGCATTTATTTTTTATGCATTATTATTATTTTATTGATTGATTTTTTTTATTTCATTTTCCCACATAAGTTTACCATTCATCTGTACATAAAATATTCCTGCTACATTTAGTCTAGTGCTTATGCTATATATCTAAAGATTCTTGACAAAATCCAAAGAATCAGCAATATTTTCAGTCCTGAACTGGCATCTCAGTTTCAGTCAATTTCCTACCACCATAATATAGCACCCCTGTGCCTTCTCTACAAATATTTTCACAGTAATTTTTCTGAAGAGCATTCCACTTTGGGGCCTTGACTTTACAAATTTAAGCACAATTAAGGATTGGCAGATAGGCCTCATAATTTCACTGTTTAAATTGCTAGTTGTAACCATAGATTCTATGCTAATAGTTTTTTCTTTTGCACCTCTTGCTTGTAGAACTCTCTGCTGGCTTGCTTTTATTTCAACTAAAATCTTCAAAAATTCAAAAGCAACTTCAATTGCCATTTTCTCTCATTAATTCCTGTTCTTTTATTGTCCTCTCTGTTTCTCTCACTCTTAGTAACCCCATGCACCTTAGTGGCTGTATCACTTTTACTTGAAGTGAAAAATTCAGAACAATTTGCAAAAGAATAGAGGGCAGAGTTGTAATTTTTTAAAAAAAATGCTAGAATAATTATTTTTTTAACAAATAGAAATTTTTTGTCTTTGAGGACTGTAAAGTGAAATGAATATTTCTTTCTACATATGATGTAACTATTTACACTATTTACACTATTTACACTATTTACATTATTCAGATTGTTGCCCTCATCTTTATTTTCATATTCATGATGTTTTGGCTGCTGTATGCTCAGGACTTCTTCAGGTGATATACGTTGGAATTTTGAACCAAACCCTTTATTTCATCCACCAGTTCTAGTTCTAGATGCCATGCCTTATCTGGATATCTCAGTTTCAGTTATTTCCCTTTAGTAACTCAGCTCTTCAAGTTTTTGTTCACTTCTGCAATGGGCAGGTATTGAACTCACAATTCTTTTGGTCAAGTTATTACTTCAACTAACACTTTTATCCACAGGGCCATGTATATCACGTAAAGAAGGCCAGAGTGTTTAACAGCCAAAACGTTGTGAATATAACAATAAAAATGAGGACAACAGTCCGATCAATGTAAATAGTGTAAATGGATATTTCTTATTGAAAAAGAAATTATGGTTAGGGTCTGTGGTCAGAGAAAGGAAGTTGTATGAGCACTGTGAGTGTATGCATGTGGTTGTGTGGGTAGGTTGCAAAGCGTACAGTTGAGCTGATAGCCTGTGTGTTTGGTGAGAGAAAGTGCATGTGTTTGTGTGTGTCTAATGACGCTGGAGAGAAGAACAATGAACTCAACTCTGATAAAACTGTTGGACATCATTCCTCATATAATTTATTTATTCTTCCTCGCTGTGCAATGCACAATAGAGTTGGTTTGGTTTGTTTCATGGTATATCAACCTCAATGGGTTACTTAATGCCAACAAAATTTTATTGCTGGTAATATTTTTTTCTTTCAAAAATGTATTGCTGGTAATAATTTTTTTTACAAAGTATTTCTTCTATTAAAACCTATTTTTACACTTTCATAGTATTTTGACCCCAGTTTGGGGTTTAACTATTTTCCCATAGCTGGGACCTTAACAGGTGCTACCACCCTGGGTTAAGGTGGACCTGGGAACACCAGCAATTAGGAGGTGGTTCCATGCTCCTCAAACTCTCCTGATCAGAGGCCTTGCTTTTGGACATAGTTTACTGTCTTACCCAGAACAAAGATGTACTTTATTGTAATAGAATTGGACAGCAGTCCGTATGTACACACACACACACACACACACACACACACACACACACACAATAATAGTAATATCAGATAAGCTTTTATAGTTGAAATAAAGAATTTTAGTTGGTCAATAAACCTAAGAAAGGCATTTCTTTTCAAACTATAGGAACTTGTCCAGATGTTGTACCAAATTAGAAGCTTTTAATATTCTTATATTATTTTGGATTATTGTTCTTAGTTGATATAGACGTTATTATAAACAGCGTTTCAACCAATTACCCTCTGGTCATCATCAGGTGTCCATCGATCGGCTGATATGTGATATCTGTTGATTATTGTGATATTTACCCTTGTGATATCAGTTATTGTTTGTTCCTACTGAATTGGTGCATCACTACCAAATCCAAGGATTGAACTCCTGACTACTAGATGACAGTAACATGTATATAATCAACTCCTATATCCACTATGTCACTATCCTGAAGGATATTAGTAGTGGTTATAGGGGTTGGTTATACATGTTACTATCATTTAGTGGTCAGAAGTTCAATCTTTGGATCTGACAGTGACACACCAGAAAGTACTTGGCCAAAATGCTGTCTATAATAACATCTATATCAATGAGAACGATAGTTCAGAATAATACAAGAATATTGACAATTACTCAGAAATTACATTCTAAGTTTTTAGTATGAAAGAAGATTTTTTATTGGTTTCAAAATAATTATATATTAAATTTGGATTTGCTTCAAGAAATACAATAAGTGCATGAGTACCTAAATATCCACCTTGAAGAATTTGGAACAAATGAACAGACAGGTGGACAGCCTTTCTTATATAATGATTAGTTGGATCTGATAAGGTGTTTTAAAAGTCATCCTGTTGGTCCATAAATCGAAGAAAGGCTTCTTTTCAAGTAAGAGCAAATTATCCACATTTTGTCAGTTGAATCTTTTTGAATTTGTGACACAGTGAACTAACTTTCCTGGCAGCATATATTATAGTCTTATAGAAAGGCTTACAAAAAAACACTCTCATCGCAGACAGGTTGGTTTATGGAAGGGTGAGAGAAAAGTTTTTTTTTTTTTTTTGTTTTTTATTTGTGAGGTAATACGTCATCTAATACAGTATTCAAGTTGATAAGATAAAGTCCTTATTTTGAGAAGATATCCAAAGATAGGATGTATGGGTTGTGTTATAGATACTATCACAGAAAGTGGAATTACCAAGCCAATTTCAAATTCTGGGTTAATTCTTTCACCTCATCAGGGTTGCAACCAGTCTAAGAGAAAGAAAACCTTGAATTTAAATCCATGGATATGGCAACAGGAAACTATGCCAGCCAATATCTTTCTCAAGAAATCCTGGCAATTCAAAGATAATAAAGAAGAGGAATCTATGGAAAAGGCATTGTGAAACCATTCCACTATCTTTCCCAAGAAGACATGGCAATTCACAAAATAATAATGAAAAGGAATCTGTGGCGTGTCATTATCGCTAATGTTCTGAAAGGACACGGCATAACAAAAAATAAATTCTCAAACTATTGGTTATAATATATGTAAAAAATCCGTGTAAAATTTTGTTAAATCAGCAACTATAATATACTGATTTTATATCTATTAAAATTAAAAAGAAAATCATTATCCAATATATAAAATTTCATTTACAGAAGATTGGAGAGTTAACTGACCAAAATATGCTAAGGTGAACAACTTCAGAAATTTAGGTTCTCAGCATCTTTTTAATGCTGTGAAAATAAGGTGAACAAAATGTATTTTTTATTTTGATTGTCATTCCTTTTCATGCTGATTACATGTTTTTTTTCTTCACAGCACTGATAATATATTCCGCTGTGTTCGTAAAGTTTCAACAGTATTGTGTGTCCATGAACCTGTTTGTGATCCTCCAGACTGCAACGGACATGGCCAGTGTATTCTGGGTTTGTGCAATTGTTCTAATTTATGGGTTGGCTCAAAATGTGATTCCCTCAAGTGTGAAAAAGACTGCAACCATCATGGACAATGTACAGAAGGTTAGTAACTTTTTGTTTTGTTTTTTTTTTTTGTTTTGACCTTCTACTCCTGCGGGTTATCCCATATAATTTTGCCTGTTTTGACAAGAAGCAGTTAAGCGCCCTATAAAAATAGGACACTTCCTGTCTTTTTTTTTTTTCTCTTGTCTCTCTTTTCCTTGTATCATGTAGTAGTAGTAGTGATAATGCCAACAGAGGCCTCCCCAGGCATGGGGATATCTCCTTAGTAACTGAACTTACACACACTCACAATTCCTAAATTTAATATCTTCCTACTTTTGCATGCATATTTGTGTATTTTCTCTCTTTTTACTCTGTTATATAAAAACAAAAATATAAAAAAGTACCTTGCTGAAATGCATTCATTCTTTTACATCTGTCATATGTGCAAAATGTTATTGATACTGCTTTTAGTCTAACTAGAAGTTAGTCCTACAACACTCCCATCAATACTAGAAATGTCTAAAACTGTTTTATAAATTTTAACCAAGCAGTGACACTAGTCAATGAATGCTAAATATTTCCTTGTATGGAAACAGATAATTTTGCCATTGCCACCAGGATGGAAAATTTGATTTCACTTAGTGGAATTAATGCTTTAGGTTAAAGTTAGAATATTTCTAGTGCACCAAGAATATAGTCATGAAAAATCTTTTTTTCAGTGTTAAAGTTACAATACTAACTATAAAAAAAAAAAGTGCAAGGCAAAATAATAATATTTTTATGCCCTCCACAACCACTTTTACAAATTTTCAATCAGAATTAAGAGCATATTTTCACTATGAATATATATAATAATTTTCATTTGAAAGCCTTTCACTAAAATGTCAGTATTAATCGGGAAGATATTGAAAAGCAAAGGCTGATTTTTGTAATAAAACTATTTCTTCATTCTCTCTCTCTCTTTACAGATGGTTGTATATGTTCTGCTGGTTGGTGGGGCAGTTATTGTAGCAATCCTTGTCCACCTGGAAAGTATGGCCAAGACTGCAATCAAGTGTGCTTTTGCCAAAACAATTCTACCTGTGACTCTGTTAGTGGGAACTGTACTTGTCCTTCTGGATACATTGGAGATGCATGTCAAAACCGTAAGTATTGGTTTTTATTTATTTTTAAATTTCTTCTGGAAAAAGCTATAAAATATCTGCCAGTTGGTGTATTGGACTAATGTTTAACAATGCAGAAAGCTGAGTGAGCCAAGTTCAAATTCCAATTTTAAATTCAAAGCTTGTATTCCATGTTCAAATTCTCTTTGAGACTGTGTTGTTTTTTTTTAATCATTTCACCCCAAGCAAGGCAGAAATACCACTAATATGCAGGGGAGTTACAAGGAATGAAAGTGAGAGAAAAGACTGAAAAAAATTTTTTAACATTTCATCAGGTGGGAAATCATGATTGTGATTTCCCACCTGATGAAACGTAAAAAAATTTTTTAACATTGAAACAAGATGTACAGTTTTGTTGTGGGTATGTGCATGTTCTAATGTAACACTGTATAATAAATAAATATTTATTGCTTTACTTTTGTATTGAGCCTTGTTTCAAATTAATGTTTTGAACTCTGAAATCTTATTCTTCGTTCTTTTTACATTTGGAGATATATATAAAAGAAAGAGGTTGTAGTGGTTTCAATGAGAGAAAAGTATGTATATTAAAAAGAAGAGAAGAGAGGTTTTTGGTTGTAATGTAGATTTGTTTAGAAAAAATATTATGCTTTGTTTTACATAATTTTACTACTACTTATTAAATTAGTAATCCAAATTTCTTTGAAATTCGGATTACTAACAAAGAAATTTGGATTACTAACACAAAAACAGAAAATGTCTCATATTTCACATTGAAAAACATAAGGAAAAAATTAATTATTTTTAATAATATGTGGAAATCTCCGCTTTTACCTGAAGACGGGCGCGAGACCAGAAACTCGTGTAGTAAAATTATGTAAAATTATGTAAAAGCATAATATTTTTTCTAAATAAATCCACATTACAACCAAAAACGTTTGCGGCACCTCTCTTCTCTTCTTTTTAATATGTATATATATATATATATATATATATATATAATTACCTAATCATTTATCTCATTAGAAGATATTTATTAATTTGGTGCCTTTAATATGGCAACCACTTGTAGTATCCACATCCTGTACCACAGGAACTTGCTATGTCAAGTAGCAATATCTATACTTTTGCTATCAAAGAACTCTTTCAAATATATGTTGAATCTCATATAAAAATTTATATTCTGTATTAGGTTAAAGTCTTACTAATGTTGGAATATATTTGCCACAACTAACATTTATCTTTTTGGGATAATATTAACAATGGGTGTACCAGATTTTCTTATATATAATGTAGAGGAATTTTATATACGTGAAATATTGTTGGGTTTTTTTTTTTGGTTTTTTTTGTTGTTATAAAGAAAAGCTGAATTTTAGAGGAGTTTTTACAGCATGCATGAAACAGAATTAAACAAATTTATCTTAAATGTATTTTACTATTTGTTGAATGAGTTAAAAGAAAAATTCTCACTTGTATTTCATTTGAATAGTATATTTTTTATCACATACAGGTTGTCCTTATGGTTACTATGGTGACCATTGTGAACATTTATGTATGTGCCCCACTGACTGCGGCTGTGATCATGTGACAGGAAGCTGCAATTCTACCTCAGCTTACACATCCAACATTAAAATGGGTAAGCAAGCTCTCAAAATGTTTGAATTTCACAGAAATCTTTTTACTTTTTTCCAGTGTTTATCTTTAGATACCAGGTGTTTGTTGTTTTTTGTTTTGTTTTGTTTTTTTGGTTTTTTGTTTACTTTTTTTGAGGGGGCAATATTTATAGCTGCCCTCTTACCTTCCTATACTTATTGAACATATTGATTATATGTGGAGATAATGTGACAAAGTGCTAAAGCTCTTCAGGCAACATGTTTCACCTCTTTATGATAGGCATCTTCAGGTTAGAATAAGAGACAAACACCTGTTCTGTTAGGAAAGTTCAATGGAATTTTATGAAAGCCATGATAAATTCTTCATCTGATGCTATGGCCAGAAAGTTTTTTTTTTATTTTATGTATTGAAGCTGTTTACCTCTACAAAATTTCAAATTAGTCCGACTCCAAGTAGGTCTCTACCCATTTTTCTCAGTTTGTTTACTGCATTGAGAATAATACTATAATGTAGGGAAAAAAAGATCTACTTAGAGTTAATTTGTAATTCAATAGATGTTAACAGCTTCATTATGAGAAGAAGAAAAATATTTTTTCTAGTTGCTGATCTTTATTAAGTCTGCCTCAAAATTCCAATACACTTTCCTTGAAGATCAAATTGTTTCTCTGACCTGAAAACACCTGCCATAAAGGGGTGAAATGCATTGTCTGAACAAGCTTTTCCACTTGGTCCCATTATCTCCACTTTTGTTCAAATATGATTTTACAGGGTGTGACAGAAATACCTCCTACATATACCACCCACATAATGGTAAGACTTTAGTGGCAATGCTGTCTTTATCTAGATAATGTCTTACCATTATGTCAGAGGTATATATGAGATATTTCTGCCACACCCTGTACAAATGCACAATTTCATTATCTGCAGCAGATAAAGGTTATAGGATTTGGTGTCACATTATGTTTAATAGTTTGCTACACAAGCTCTCCAGTTATGGAATCATTGGAAAGGTCTTCTTGAAATCATTCCTAACTGAAGGTAGTTATTAGTTACAATCTCATTAGGAATGACTGCAACACTTTCCCCTCCCCATTTTATAGACAAAAACACACACATCCAGGCTGGGATTTTTTCCTTGCCAATAAAATATGCCAGTTCTCGTTTTTATCTGACTCTGTCCTGGTCTGTCTTGTTTTGAAGTCAGAACACTATGTTCATTTGTCTGAACTTGTTTTTAATTGTCAACCCTCATTCTTAGTTTTTGAACTTTTTGCAATATTACTGTTGTTTTGCTTTATTACGGTTAATTTGCTTTATTTTCTTGTTTTATATTATTTTTTGCCCTGTTCTTTCCTTTTTCTTGTTGCAAACTTTGTCAATTTTTTTTGTTAGACAGTTCTGTTACTTATTTTGCATTTGACCATGGCTACTCACTCCACAATAGTTATTAATGGGCAGTCCTCTAGGGCCCTGACGGTCAACATAGGGGTCACTCTTTGGACCAATCCTCTTTTTGATTTACATAAATGATCTGCTTAAGAATATTCTCAGATCATTTGTAAACATCTATGCTCCAACAAGTAATTTTTATCTTTTTATGTTATAATATCTGCAACAATAAGTTCATTCTAAGTGATCTATTAATTTTCTATGGCCAATGTCAGACTTGGCTTATATACAATATCACTGATCATCATAAAAAGCAATAATGTGGTAAATGAACTAATAGAGAAGAAAAAGCAAGTCGACTTGGAGTTTGGCTAATTTCAAATCCAGCAGACATTAACAGCTTCAGTATGAGGAAGAAAAAATCTTTCTGGCTGCGGCCAAGAAGATTTTTTATCTTTATTAGCTCTTCCTCAAAATTCCAACACACTTTTCTTACACTCTGTATTTTTTCTCTTTCTGACCTGAAGACATCTGCCATAAAAGGGTGAAATGCATTGTCTGAATAATTTAAGGGTTTTTTTTTTTATCTGACATTATTTTTTATTGCTATAAACATACATTTTAGTGGGTACAAAACTGAAGCTAGCAGATATAGATTTGTAGAAGTCCCAATGAGAGATGTACTTTCCTTAAATAGGTAATTCAAACATTGCTCTGTCAGACTGGTTGCCTTGGCCAAACTGGTAACAGCATGTGTTGACTGAAAAGCAGTTTCTCTGATGAAAAAGAAATGGGGTTCACATTCTCATTGGCATTTGTCTTTCATTGTGTTACCTTGTGAGCATGCAGCAGGCCCTCTCCCAGCTTTTGGTGCACAATGACGAGCTTAAGGATTGAAATGCAACTAGGGGTAAGCATTGGCTGGTCGGTGGATTGATTGATTTGTTTGTTTAATGGCTTATCAAGTCCTTTTGGGCCATTTAATGTCAAAGTTTAATTTTTGGGGGAGCTTTGAAGTAATAAAAATATGTTATTCTGCTTTCACAAATGAATACATGGTAGATGATACCTAGTTTTTGTGTATATGCATTTTTGTGTTGTCATGATTACTAGATGCGGTGGTGTTTTATGTTGTACTTTTGTTGAAGTTATATTTTGGAATACAGTTTGATTTCTTTAAGAAATTGTAGGATATTATATGAATTCATGTCATGAAAGAGTTCTTTCATGTTGGTTGTTGGTTAGTGACATATCTGTCTCTATATGTTATTTAATGCCATAATGTAAATATTTTGAACACAAATTACCAACAGTACATTTTATTTTTAGTCAAAGACATACAGTTATGATAAAATGTTGGTTATTTTGCTTTAAAAATGTATTGTTGGTCATTTTACTATAAATAAGTTTTGATGGTAATTTTTTTATATGTATGTTTTTATATAAAAACGTATTGCTGGTATTTTTATTCTAAAAATGTGTTTTTTTTCCTTCATAGTGTTTTGTTTTTGTCTTCGGGGTTCACTATTTTCCCATAGCTAAGGCCCTAACAGGTGCTACTACCCCAGGTCAGGGTGAACTTGGGAATGATAGCAATTAAGAAGTGGTTCCATGCTTCTCCAATCTTCCAATCAGAGGCCTTGCTGCTGGATGTAGTTTGTCATACCCAGGACTCTGGTTGGGGGGAAGCTTGTTTTTATATGTAATCTTACTTATTATAAAACACAGATTGTGTGTGTGTGTCTGTACGTTTATATATTGGATCGGATTCCCTACATTTTTCGACCGATTTCAACAAAACTTCACAGGACTACGTAAAATCACCTTGAGGTGGTTCTAACAGCGCCAAAAATTGGAAAAACACAACTGTTTTTGCACGAAATCAATTTGAAAACACGATTAAGAGGCATCATGAGAATGAAAGGGGGACAACTCATATCGAGTTATACTTATTATAAAACCCAGGTTGTGTGTGTGTGTGTGTGTGTGTGTGTTCATTTATATATGGGATCGGATTTCCTACATTCTTCAACCGATTTCAACAAAACATCACTTTTTTTTGGCAGGTAGTGTTTCTTATTGTCTTGCACACTTTTTTCTTTATTTTTACATTCAGAATGCTTTAAAAATTCCATTTACAAGACAATTGTTTATAATAAAATTCTATTCAATCGGTAGATCCATAACGATTGAAAACAATGATTTTGTTTGAGTTTGGGCTTGACCAATTCATAAAAAAAAAAAAAAAAAAAAAACTAATTAAGACATGAGTGTCCGTCAACCTTAAACAATAATCTTTGTCAATTTTATTTTTCAGTCTTTATGGTGGTCGATACTTGATCTATCTCTTACTGTTACATCCCCGAGCAATGCCGGGGTCTACTGCTAGTATATATATAAATGGTGGTGTTTACATTTATCTATGTTTGCATATATAAATGTGTTGTATAAAGCAAATGACTTAGAAGATCATTTATTGACTTTGAGGAATTGTGTGTTTGGGCATGTGGAGGTTTGATTTTTTTTTTTTTTTTTTTTTTTTTTTTCAGCCGGCAAATGCATGGCCAGGCAAATCATTAAGGCAGAACATCTTGTTGCAGATAAATCTGATGAATATAGGTAATTAATATTGTTTCCAGTAATAATTGGGTTGGATGAAAAGTGGGGAAAAATTATTAGGATATTACCGGAATTTAGAAAAAAATCATGTGTATTTTGAATTAATATTAAGCCTAATTTCTATCTGAATTTCTGGGATGAGGATCTGTTATTTACATGCAGACTATTGTCCTCATCTTTGTTATAATCATAACATTTTGACCATTGTGCTCTCCAGCCTTCCTCAGGTGTATGTCAATCTGGGTAGCCTAGGGAACTCCAAACTGAAACCTTTATTTAACCTACATGGTTAGACTGTTCTCGTTCTTATTTTTAGTAATTCTCAGTTGTTGTTTACCCTGTTTTCACTGAGTTCAAATACACACTGCCTGGCCCAGGGATTGAACTCACATTCAGTATATCACCAGATTCACAGACTAATGCTCTAATCCGCTAGGCTATTGGCTGTAGTTTATCCAGATCAACATTCATCTGATGAAAACTAGAGGGTGCAACAATCAAAACACTGTGATAACATCAAAGATGAGGAGAATAGTCTTTATGTAAATAATTTGAACAATATAAAGGAATTAGATATTTCTAAAGTAAAACTCCCTTTCCAATGTATTTGCCTTGTAAAAAAGAAATTCTAGCAAACATGGACCTTTGTGCCTAAAAAAAATGGAGTACCAAAAGAATAGTTTTTCTATTGACACTGCTATTATTTTAACTGCCTTCACTCCTAGGCAATGTTTATTGTTTTAAAAACCAATGTTTAGAATTGTGATAAAACACAAATAATAAACACTATTTACTATATTGTATATTTACGTTATTGGAATGGTTGGCAAAGCTAATTGCCACTTGATTCAAACTTTATAAAATGGTAAATAATAAGGATTTCCTTATAGTTGGTTCAATAATTTAGCAAATGTTTATAAATAAAAATTTTCTCATGTTTTATTTCTTTATAAATTGGTAAATGATAAATATTGCATTAGTTTTAATTGTATTAGCTTTTAGAATATTGTTATTATAAAATTATTTTTGCAAATAAACATCTAGACACGGTGGAGTAATGGATGGCGGCTCAGATTGAGGAATCTGAGAGCCAAGTTCAAATTTCAGTTGAATCCATTACATTCATATACATACTTGGGAAAGGTATGAATCTGCTTCTTCTTCTCATGCTATGGATAAATAGCAGAACAGACTGGGTTCTATAGTCTTGGATTGCAACTGGTCTACTGCAGAAAGAAATGGCAACATACTGTGGGAAAAATCTGCCTTGTCAGTCATGCATTGAAAGATGCATGATTGCCTAAGCATGTATCACGCATGGCACTAAGAAGACAAAAAAGAATAAATAATTAATGTTTTTAATATTTTTGTTACAAATTCTCAAGAACAAAAAAATTGTATGAATTCAATTTCATATGTGTTGTAAAGTAGTTTTCACAGTGGAGGCTTGTATTTCACTAAGTCGCCCTAAATTAGGTTCGATGTACAAAACGATAGGAACTTGAAAATAATAGTTAATGACGCAGCAATCTAGTTGTGGTGGATTGATACTTCAATGTCCGACATTAACTGACTCACTCCACTCCACTGAGCCCCAACTGGTGACCGCTACTACTACTAATTATGTGTGGGAGAGTCTATTACAATAGAATAGGTAATGTTCTTGTATAACAATATGTTTAGGTTTTATTACAATTCTAATCATTGCTTTTTAAAACAAACATTGCTGAGGAGTGAAGGAAAAAAAAACAGTCATAGGAAAAAACCATCCTTTTAACGATTCATTTTTTTTTTTTTTTTTTTTTTTTGCAAGCATGAAGGCCCATGTTTGCCAAAATTCCTTTCTACAATGTATTCGCATTGTAAAAATTCCCATTCAAGTACATTTTTTTATACTAGGAAACCTTAAGTTTTGTTTTATAATTAATCAGCTATTTTCACTCTTTTTGAAAGAAATCTGTTGCCTTTTTCCTACTTCCTTCAATTTTCCTCTTTCAGGTTTTATGTCCATGGCTTCATCCTTATGAGCGTAATTGCTGGTGTTAGTATTATAGTCAGCTTGTACTGTTCTTATTGTTGGTGGAAGGACTGTTTGAAGACGAGAATCTCTGGCCGTCACAGTATTTTACAAAGTGACATGATAGCAACCAACAGTTTACTCAATCATTCGTACATGTCAGATTATGATGAGGAAGATGATGACAATGAGGAGAGAGATCACCTGGAACCAAAGTTGAAAGAACAAGATACTTTATGATGATGCTTAAGAGACTTGTATATCCTTATCTTTCTTGGTCTTGTTGATATGACAAACATGAAACTCTTATCATCAGGCATGAACTTCTTTTTTCCTTTCCTGAAAAATAACTTTCTCTTGTAATTACATACGTGTGTGTGTGTGTGTGTGTATAATTATATAATTTACATAAACTTCTAACAAAGCTTTTTTATTTTTTTCAGTAGATAATGATGCTGGAGTCACATAGTTCCAAGCATTAAATGTATATTATTTAAAGCATTATTTTTAATGGATGCCCATCTTTGCTGGGCCACATCGCATTGAAACACCAGTTTCCATATGATCATCAAAGTTAAGCAATGCTGAGCCTGGTCAGTGCCTACATGGGTGACCACTTGGGAATACCATGTTCTGTAAGCTTGGATTTGTGGGTGGTGTAATGAATAAATACTCAGAATTGGTAAGCCAAGTTCCAATTCCAGTTGGGTTCATTATATTCCCTTATGCACAAATACCCTTGCGAAGGATATGAATCCATCTCTTCTCCCCTCCAGCTATGGGTTAATTAGTAAGAGTTGTATCTCTTAAACTCTCATTATCTCCCTATCAAAATAAATAAAATTGCTTACAGAATATTTACATTATGGCACTAAATAACCTATAGTTTGGTATGCCACTAAACAAAAAAAAACAAAAAACAATCAACCAACAATATTTGAGTAGATGCTCCATTTTTTTTTTTTTTTAAACGGTGTCTATTTTGTCTACCAGTTTGCATACTCAAGAAAACATAAAGAAAATTTACTCCGCTTTATTAAGTTTTCTTGAGTGTGCAGACCAGTAGATGAAATAAACATTGTTTAAAAAGAATGGAACATTTGCTAAAAATAATATTTGAAGTAATGAAAACATGTCGGATTAAAAATGAAATCCATTAATTTCTTTACATTTTATATATATATATATATATATATACACACACACACACATTGTTTGCTATATTTACAGGAGGAGAAAAAAGATCAATATCTGGGATAGTGTTTGTCACTATAAACAGTGTGGGCAGAGAGATCAACACTGCATGCGGAATGGCAGTTTCATGTCTTAAGTGATCAACTAACCCATATTGATTTCTACATCTTCACACATGTGCACACACACACACACACACACACACACACACGGTTTCATTTGTGTTGTCAGTGTGTATAAATCTATATACAACTGTGCATTTATATACATACCATGAAGCCTGTTCTTCAACAAACTTGCAGATATCAATATAATATTTTTTTTCCAGAGGTGATACCTCAGACAATTTTCTTGCTCAATTTTTGTCTGTTTCTGTCTACAGATTTGGTTCATCCATTTCAAGGATTTGTGCCAAAACTTTTTTTTTTTATTACATAGATATCAGTAAAAGAAATCCTTGAAAATGGACAGTGTCTTAAAATCAGAATAATTTTGGTAGTTACAATTTGCTCCTATAAGTAAAATATACCAAGAGACCCAAACCAAAAAAAAGTAATTCATGCTTTCAACCATTGTTTCAGCTGGTGGGTTCTTAACCTTCATCAGTTTTATGACCAGTAATCTTCAATATTTTTTTTTGCTCTCTTTCTCTCTCTAATCCTCACTTGGAATAGTTGAGGATGCTAGTTAAAGTAATTCATCAAATAATTAAAACACCCCCTCAAAACTTCAGACAATACATCTGTTTTATGAGAATTTTATATTTTTATTGTGGCAAGCTTATAATTATTAACTTCAGCCTATTATAGCACTGATGCTTCAAAAGAAATATGTTTCATAAAAATGAAAATCTGTTGTTCCGTTTCTGTTGCTTGTTTTGTCTTCATATATTTGTCAAAGGCCAGAAAACTATAAACCCTGACATTTTACTAAAAATATTGTCAACTTGTCTTGTTGCAGAGATGGTAGGATGCTAGATACAGAAGGATGAAGAATGAGGGTGATGCTGTGCATGTCATGTTCAGCTAAGATACAGGAAAAAAGCATAAAATTATCTCTCTCTTAGTTTTATTATCATGACAGTCACCATTAGTGTAGTTTGTTTGCAAGTACATTGTGATGAGGGTAATGCTGTGCAAGTCACTTGCAGCTGTCTGAAATATGAAAACGGCATGATGCGAATTCTTCCTTAGCTCTATTCTATTGAATTATGATGAAGTGCAGAAAGCAGTGAGGGTGATGCTGTGCAAGTTTTTAATGATAGAATTTTTTAATTTTTTTTTAACGTTTTAATTAGTTCAACTAGAATAGTAATGCAATAATAAAGAAACTTAATTTAATTGTCTTAAATGATTTGAAATCCGATGTGCATATTTTCTTTATTAATTTTTGTCATATTATTGTTGGTTTTTATCACAGCACCACCCGCACATCATCTGGAAATGTGTGGATGATGACTCCAACGGATAAATCGGAGAATTTAATTTAAATTTCAGTCAAGGCTATTAGAGTCCCTTATATGTAAATGCTCTTGGGGAAACATATGAATCCATCTCTTCTCTTCTTCCCCCACCAACTACAGGATATATAGCAGAGCAAGCTGGGCTCTATAGCTGTGGTTGGCAATCTGTCTAGGAGAAAGACAACACTGAATTCAAAACTACATGTAGCCCTGAGACCAAATTTCAGGTTGTCCATTAGTAAAGCATAGCTCCTGAAAATTGCCCCTACCAGGGTTATGATGAAAATATCAGCAATAGGGTGTTGGGTGTGGTCAATATCAGAAACTAACTGACCAGATTTGGCATTGAGCTGTGACATGTAAAAAGATCCTTCATGGATGAGACCAAATTATTCCAAGTCAGATGGAAACTGTGGGAGCACAGAGTAATGCCTCATGTCTTCTAATATATACACAACCAAAACCCACATTGGGCCATCCTGAGGGATGAGCTGTTTAGTTTGATTATCACAGCATTCTCGACTGAATATACCTGTTAACTATTGAAATAAACAGTATGAGATCAGAATAAAGCTCAGACCAGACACCAGGTTTGTTGACAGGATGCAGTTTCTAATTTCTTCTTCGAGTGAAGAACAAAACAATTTCTAGCAGTAAACCAGATTTTATTCTTGGGTAGTAACTTACTGCTATAAGCGAGCGAAGTAGAGATGAGGTGTAAGTTAGTAGGGAGGTGCACAGTTCAATGGTCATCGTCTATGTCTGTTCTGCAAGCCCCACTTCTTTCTTTCTGCATTCCATTTCGTAAGATGGTCAGTTTTATAGACATCAGTTTTCTTTGTCTTGTCATCTTTGTGTAAAAAAGTAATTAATCTTGTTTATGTCACTTTCTCCCAGTCTGAGCCTCTTGCTTTTGTACTTTGAAGTTGACTCCATTTAACCATCGGACAAATGTAAATGTTCCATATTGACTTTTGCGACAGGTCCTGCTGTTTTAAATTTAACAAGACCTCAGCTTGACTCATATTGCTACATCCGCTTCTGAAAAGAATTGAACTCGCCTCCAACATCCTCATATTTCATCTTATTTCAACAATACCTTAGCCAATTCAGCCACTGAAAGCAAACAGTTTCCTATAAAAAGCAATTGACATTGAAGTAATACTTACTAATACTGCCTGAACTGATTTCATTCTTCTTTGTCATTAAGACAATATCAGGATGCCAAACTGGTTCCTTGTTGGTAATCCTGACACAAAAATAAAATTAACTAGCAGTGCCCCATTAGGGAAGGTTGATTGTGAAACCCTGGTATTGCACTCAATTTGAAAGTTGAGGTTTGACATGATAAATAAGGACACACAATATTTTTTCCCCCCTTTTTTTTTTTTTTTTTTTTTTTTTTGAGGAAACAATTTTAAAGATTAAGTTTAGGTTCAAAATTGTAGCATTACAGTGATCAGTGAAAGCCTTATAGCACAGCTTTATAAAATTCATAATTTTCTGAAGCTTTACATATTTTATATGGACAAGATGCATGACTGTGCCATCAAATAAGACCTTCATTTACTTCAAAGGGAAATTTTACTGAACAATTCAGCTACATTATGATGTAATATATTATACAGTGCAGTAGTTATAGTGCAATTTTAAATAATCAATGCAAATTTAAAACATTTTGTCTTATAAATTGTGCCCAGCAGTTTTATGGTTATAATACTTTTATCTATTTTTTTCTTTTAATTAATTATGATCTAACAAATCTTATTCATTGAATAGTCTTTTTTGTTATCAATTTTTTTACAAAGTTTTTACTTATCAAATACAATAAAAAAAATTACATATTTTCATTGTGATGATTCAAAATCAGAATTCTGATTTTAATATATTTTCAATTCAATGTATCTAATACAAAAGATATCAACTTTATTTGGATTTATTTTTGAAATAGTAACATTTTGAAGTCAGTTTGTAAGCAAAAACCTGCAGTAATTAGGTATTTCTGTATATATGTTTCATGTGATTTTTAAAACTAAATGCTCAAAAATTGGTAAAAGCTGTGAAACTAATTTTTTGAGAGTCTGTCTATATTTCTGAGATGAGGTATTATGTACATTATTTACATTATTCGGACTATTGTCCTCATCTTTGTCGCCATATTTATCACAATATTTCGGCCGAAATAAAGGGTTCAGTTCGAAATTCCAACCACCTGAAGAAGGCCGGAGCGTACAATGGCCGAAACGTTGTGATAAATATGGCAACAAAGATGAGGACAATAGTCCGAATAATGTAAATAATATAATTTTTTGAGTTAGTACTTATCACATCAAATCTCGGCTTTCAGACAAAGTGCAATGTTGATTTTTCTAAAAACAAGTGAAAAATCAACCTGCCCTAGTGCCCCCCCCACCTCATGCCAAATTATCGTGAGACTGTTAACACTTGTTTATATGGTAGCATTAGCAGGGGAGAAATCTGAGGAGTTTTTCTGGGAAGAACTTGCTTCCTGTATTCCAGGAACTTGTCTTATATAGATGACATCTTTGACTTCATAATAAATAAAACTGACTTTTCCGTTTGCTTGAGTTATCAACTGTTTTTCTAACTTCATTGTGGTACAGACAAGCAACTACTATTGTAATTGATATGCAATATGTATAATTGATATGAAATATGTATAAAAGATTATGATTTTTACAATTTATCTATATTGTATTTTGTCACTTATGAAAAATTCTATCCTGGCATCTTGGTTGTGTACTTGTCAATGATCTAAGATGCACCAGTTTGAAATTTGACACAGAGGGCAAGCAAACTGAACATACCTCCTCAACAATTTAATTTTTTTTTTTTTTTTTTTTTTTTTTTTTCTTTTCAAGGGAGAAACTTCCATTTATTCTAAGAATTCTCAAAATGACTGGTGTATTTATTTTCTCAAAATATTCAAAGTGCATTTTTTTATTTTATGAAGTGGACAAAGC